TTTAGGGAATAAATATAATTATTAAACAATCGATTAATGATTATGTTCTGGACAAGGATTCAAAAACTGCTATGTGGAGGTTAAGAGGAGGGTAGAAATGCATTTGTCAAAAATGCTAGGATGAGACTGCCCCCTAGAGGTCAACACACTACACTGTGTGAGAAAATAAAGAACCAAGTAAAACCGATTAAAATATGCAGACCTCTTCGTTGCGTCTAGTGTTACTAAAAAGAACTGGGTGAACTAATATTCATGTGATAATTTGTTTATCTTATGACAAATAAAGATAAATTTATTTTCCATCCAAGGCTATGACAAAGAAGATGCCTTCTAGGGACTTTGATAGAAAAAAAATGCAGATTGGAATAATGTTTAAAGAGTTCATGTAAATCTAAAAAAAATTAGTATTTTTGAATACATGCTTAGAATTGTGATTCAACATTCAAAAACATGTTCAACTGTATTTGTACTTATGAAGAATCAACATAATTAAATATCAGCAAAATAGTATTTTGAAATATGCAGTTAACTATTTTTATTATTTTAGATTTTGGGGTAAGTGTACAGGTTACATGGACATATTGCATAACAGTGAGATCGCACAGAAACAGAACTATCAGTTTAGATTTTTTTAGTATAAGGCGATACGCAGCCATGCTTACCTGTAATGACTGAAAGTGGTTTCTCCAAGCAACTTAAAGTTCCTCTTTCTGCTACACTGAATAGATATACTAGATAATGATTAAAAGACTTGAGGTCTCTAATTATTGTTGCTGTGTTGCATTTTTCAACAAACACCTCTTCTGATGTATTGTTTTCAACATCCAAAATAGTGATAAGGTAATGATGAAAAAATACAGGATCTGGAGGATCCCAGTGTAAAAATATTTCTGTTGGGGTAACACGTGTAACTCTGAAATTTTGGGCTGACAAAGGGCCTGGGAGATAAAAACAACCAAAAAATACATTGTATTAGTGACGTGATTTGGCAGAATAATCTCTCACTTCTCAGTATTTCCAAATACTCTAGCTTGGAAAAGAAACAAAAACTGGGTTTGAGTCCTGGCTCTTCCACTTTCAAGTTTCATTCCCTGAGAAAATTATCTACCCTCTCTGACTGTAAAATGGGAATGATATTAGTAGGTACCTCATAAAGCTTTTGTGAAGATTGAATGAGATGAAGAATGTAAAACACTTGGCACAGTGTTTGCCACATGCTATTGTTCAATAATTATTTTACTATCGTCACCACCAAAACAACATGTATGGCATTCAATGATCATGCATTATATATGTCTCTTACCTCTTCTGCCTTGTCAGACTAGAGAGCAGAGGCTGTTATTCACCCTTCATTCTCATTATCACTGCAATGCAGGCATTCATCCTTTTACAGAAATGTTTCCCTACTCTGGCCATTTCATTCAGTGCCAGTGATTGTCCTAATTAATGCTTCCAGATTAATTTTCTTAATATTGTACCTTGCAAATGGTCTCAAACCTATATCCATCCCCCACTCCTTAATATACGTGTGCTAACACATTCTTGATTCTTTCTTTAGGAGCAACAGCTCAGGAGTTACAATAAGACCATCTAGGTTCTTGTGTAGCTCAGTTACTTAACAAAGCATGTCACTCTAGTCAGTTTACTTAACATTTCAGAAGTTCAGTTTTCTCATTTCTATATAGCTACTCTCAGGGTTAAGGCAAGGACTGAATGAGATAATGAATTGAAAGTGCTTTGTAAAATGTAAAACAATTGTTAGAAACTATAGTCTTAATGAATTTCCATCGCTTCCAAGGTCAAGTCCAAGCATCTGAGACAGATACCCCTGCCACTCCCAAGTCTGGCACCATCTACCTCCCACACTGATTTTACCCTCATGCCCAAGGAAATTGTCTTCTCTAGTCAATCTTCGCAAGGCTTCTTCTACAAATTCTTATCTCTACACTTCTGCTCACAATATGTTTTTTCTTCCTTCAAGTTTGAGTCTAAGCCTCTCCTTTCCATGAGTCTTCTCCTGTCATCTACTGTACGAATTCAAGTCAGTATTTATTAAATGCACCACTAGTTGGATATTTAGGTTATTATTTTGCTGTATAGTTTTGTTTGCTTCTGTTTTTATTCTTTACTAATTATCTCCAGTGCAAGGTGATTAAAGGCAGGGATGCATAGCTCTCCCTTTCCTGCTCTCAGCACATATCAGAAATTCAGCTCCACAAAAATTTATTGATCATCCCCTATGAGGTAGGCAGTAGTCTAGCTGGTACTATAAAACAATTAAGACATAGTTCATGTCCTCATGAGGTTTGTAGTTTAACAGAAAAACCAACATATAAACAGATTCATTGCAAATTTATTATTATTACTATTTGAGACCGAGTCTTGATTTGTCATCCAGGCTGGAGTGCAGTGGCACAATCTCAGCCCACTGCAACCTCTGCCTCCTGGGTTCAAGTGATTCTCCTGCCTCAACCTGCCAAGTAGCTGGGACTGCAGGTGTACACCGCGATATCTGGCTAATTTTTGTATTGTTTGTACAGATGAGGTTTCACCATGTTAACCAGGCTGGTCTTGAACTCCTGACCTCAGGCAATCCACCCACCTTGGCCTCCCAAAGTGCTGGAATGACAGGCTTGAGCCACCGCACCCAACCTAAAATGATTAAATATATAAGTATCTCCAGAGTTATATGAGAAAATACCAGACCCTCATAAAATATCTGCCAATGACAGAATTTAAAAGTTTTTAAATTATATTTTCAGGTGTCTTGTAACTTACGTGTTTCTACAGTGAATAGTGAACTTAAAGTAGTTTTTGCCTCCCATTCATTTATTGCGAAGAGTAAAAATCTATAAATATGACCAGGAAACAGTTGGATAACTGCTTTTTCTGTAGTATTTGGGGGTATGCTTTCAAAACGTTGTTCTCCTGTATAATCTAAAGAATATTTAATGATAATCTTATATCCCAATTTCATCCACTTATTCAAATTATTCCAAAAATTCAAATTATTCCAACTAAATACAACTTCAGTTGTTCCAACATCCTTTAAATAAAGCAAAAAGCTTTCTTGCAGAGAAGGTACTGAAAAAATAGAAAAGATAATTATTTTTAATTAGAAATTATAATTCCATAATGAAAATAATGAAATAAATTAAAATTAAATAATAAAAAGCTGCATTAATATAAAAAAGAATAATAAAAATAATTACATTCATATTCACAAACATATGGCAATGGAACATAGCAGAAAAATCTTGTAAAGAAATAGTTTGATCCAGTTGCATTTTGCTGTAAAATGTAGCAATGTGTTTCATTCTCGGATAGCAATGAAAAAGAAAATATTTCATTTTTCTTAAGGCTAAAAGATGATCCGTCTGCCCATGTAAGAAGACCTTCTCTCTGTAATAAGATGAACAAATTAAGCCAATTAAAAGGAAAAGTGTGATATATTCAGTCACTGCATTTCAAATATGTGTATTTGAAAATTTTAATTAATCATAACTTTATTATAAAGTTTTCTAAGATTTTAAAATCATCAGCCAGTTTAATATTTTTATGTAGATGTCCTTCATGATAAAGTAGCTGGCGCCAGGCCAGTGGCTCATGCCTGTAATTCCAGCTACTTGGAAGGCTGAGGCAGAAGGATGGCTTAGGCCCAGGAGTTTAAGGCTGCAGTAATCTCTGCTTCAGTCACTGCACTTCAGCCCAGGTGATAGAGCAAGACTTATGTCAAAAAAGAAAAAAGAGAAAGAGAAGGAGGAGGAGGAGGAAGAATAGGAGGAGGAGAAGGAGAAAGAGAAGGAGGAGGAGGAAGAAGAGAAGGAGGAGGAGGAGGAGGAGGAGAAAGAGAAGGAGAAGAAGGAGAAGCAGCAGCAAGCAGCAAGAAACAGAGTTCAGTTTCATTTACTCATTAGCCATATTGCAAATCTCACAATAAGCCGCTATTTTCTCATCTTAAAATGAGTATAATAATAGAACCTACATCTTAAGGTTGTTGTACTGATTAAAGAGGCAGTACATTTAAAGGCTCAACACAATGAGGCACAGAGAAATTATTCATTAAATGTTAGTTATTTCATTTGAAATCATCAAATAAATTGCATGCATCTGGAGAGGTTGTTGATACCTTCCTGCTAAAGGATGTCCTTGGTGAATCTCACCAACCCAATTTTCACAAGTAATAAATATCTGTCGTATATCTACACTTCTTGAAAGGGGTAGTTTATAAAAAGTATAAGCTTTGACAAAATACTCCTGCATACTAATTATATTTCTGACACTTACTATCTACTCTTGGGCAACTACTAATCTTAGAAACTAAATTTTCTTGCCTGTGCAATGGAAATAATCATGACTACTTTGCATAGTTGTCAATAGGTTTAGAGAGTATGTTTGTAATACAGCAAACACATAACAGCTCCTTAAAAAATAAATGTAACACTTATAGAGATAATGAACACTACGAAAACAGATACTATATCTATATTTTGGTTATCAGACCATCCCCAAAATCAAGCACAGCGCCACCCTAGCTGCATGGGTGAGAATTAAAGAGACCTGTTTCCTCTGGACATTTTAAAGAGATTTTAAAACAATACATTCAAATTCCACCTAACAGAACGAAGAAATCCCATTTCCTCAGAAAGTCTGCTTTATTGCATATGTATTGCTGTGGTTTTAAAAATAGTCATAGGATCAGAGACAGTATTTCAAGTGATTAAGACATGAGAGCTGGTCAGACAGATACAGGTTCAAGGCCTGGAATGGGCATCAATAAGTTATGTGCCCCAGGATCTCTCTAAGATCTATTTTCCTGTATAAAATGGGAATCATGATAGCACCTACTACAACTATAAGGTGAGAAGTAAATGAAGGTTGCCTATGCAGGTGCCCTAAATGGGAAGAAAGAGACTATTAATCTTTCATTCATTAAGTTCCTGCTGAGTACCAAATCCCAGTTTGAAGCTAGGAATGGAATGCTGAATAAGACACACTCTTCATCCTTGAAGTCCAGTAACAATTTTGCACTTATTCAGCACAGATTTACTTAAAGGAGTGATTGCTTTCTGAACCTACCATGGAGATTATGATGTAGCAGGTAACTTTGATGTCAACCTCAAAATACCGTGGTTAAGGGTAGCATCTGATGCATCGTGGTTAAGGGTAGCATCTGATATATATATATATATATATGTGTGTGTGTGTGTGTGTGTGTATACACACACACACATATACACATTAACTGGTCTACTTGCTAAAAGACTGGCATGCTGGGAGAGGGAGTCTGAGATGTCTAAGATGAATTGTGGTTTAAGGAATCTTTATTAGAATGTAATTCATTGCCTACTAAAAGATGAAGAAAACTCAATAAAAGAATACTTTTTAAATGCAATTAAAGATTCCTAGAGGTTTTCCCAAGCTTATGCAAAGCTCCACAGGAAAGTTGGCATCAAATTGGTGGGATCTGCCTTAGTTCACCATAGATAAGGATATCTCATGGAGAACAGATTTATCTTTGAGTGCCAGGAAATAAAAGTCAATGGATCACCAAGAAGAAAACACAGACCAGACAAGAGATTACTGTGTTAGGTCTTGAGTTTCTCTACAAAATGCTGACCAAATGAAGTTTCATGAGACATTCCAAAGTGTTAGGAAGGTTGAAGAAAAATGTTACACACTCCTTATTTCACTAGTGTTAAATAAAATCTCCAGATATTTCTGTATTGCTTTTAGTAAAATTGAGCTTCACAAGCCTGATGTGTGGAGTGAAAAGAAGAAAATGGAAAAAACTTTTCATGTTTTGGGTTTCATATTATTGCACTGTTTGCAGAGGTGAGAAATAAAGGAAGTGAAACAGGTTTGATTAGAGGGAGAAGGTAAGTTCAGTCTTGGCAATGTTAGAGTGTCTGCAAGAAGTGCCAGAGGGATAATCAGAAGAAAATTAGATATATGTCTGGACTCATAAGAGGAAAGTAGACTAGATAAAGAAGTTAGGAATAATTGGTTTAGGTGGTAAATGGAGTGAAGAAATGGATGAGATCACTCAAATGAATTTAGAAATGGTCTGGGGAATAACAAAATTAAAGCAAAATTAGGTTTTAAAAAAGATGCCTACAAAAATACATTAAAATGGGTATCTGTAGAAAGAGAAACTATATTGAATTAATGAAGGAAGAAATCAATGAATAAACAATGCATGAATGTAGATAATAAAGTTTCATTTATCATAATATATGTATTTCTTTACATTTACTGACCTTCATATCATTAAGACCAGTCCATATTATTATTTGATTGTTTGACCTGAGATACGAAAATACAAAATTTTTTTCCTCTTCATTTTTTATATCCACAAGGTGTGCAGAACTTAAGGATAACTTACAATGTTGCTGGGCTATATTCCATGGCTTACTGTCATTGTTAATTCTATAACAGTTATTTTTTAATGCTGCCCATCCTTGTGAACACGATCCTACCAAAAGAAAAATCCCCTGTTAAAGATAAATCCAGTAATATAACATTTCATAATTACATTTCTTAACATGTATACAAGTTAATTATGAAAACCTCATAGTATTAAGTGTGCACCTTCCCTATACTACTCTCAAACCAATAAAAATACTAAAGCTCTGTTTATTAATCAAGTAGCAAGTAAATTACCACCAATTAACATAGTTTTTTAAATAGCTGTAAGAATTACACAGAATTATTGTCCAATTATAACTTCATTAAAATAAAAAAACAAAGATGTTTTTCTTTCTAAAGAAAACCTTACTTTACATTGCCTTTCCTTTCCCTTACTTTTGTACTGGTAGCAAACTTTTGATCATATTTCGGGTTTCTTTTTATTTTGGAGTAGCAGACACAATGCTTGCTAAAAATTTTGCTCTCAGTCAAACACTTTTGACTCAAACACTTTGACCTCAAAAGTGTTTAGCTTCCAGAAAGAAAGCTGGAACGGCTGCTTAGCTTTATTCTCCAAGATTATGTACCAGAGAGACTGGAGAAAATAGCAGCCTGTTCAGAGAAAATATTGCACATCAGTTCATGTTAATATTCTACCAGTGCCTGAAGTCAACACAGTAGGAATATGTGAGAAGGTTCTTCTGAAGATCTTTTGTCTTTCCCCCACCCCCACAGGAGAAAGGACGCTTAACTACCTTATTATATTTTTTTTCTTACTATTTGAGTGTTTCTATACTTCACTTGTACAATACATGTGTTGTGTCTTTTTTATTATTCCTCCAGGGGATATTAAAATGGGACTCTCAGACTGTCACAAAGAGTGCCCTGCCCTCATCGGCCATCTATGATTCTGTCCCCTTCTACCTGTTCCCACCTTGTGGAGGAAAGATATGAAACTAGGAAGACCCCCAAAATTGAACACATTCACCTTTCCCCGAAACTTTTCCTAATTTTGGTCAGGTCTGATCATAGATAAGTAGTAGAGAAGCTTTAAATACAATGAAAGATCAGTGGGTTTGTAATATATTGCAATGGATCATTTAATACCTGAAAACGAGACTGTTGACTCACTAAAGTAACCTAAAACGCTATGGAATTTGTATGACTCATTGTCAGAGTTAAGGAAAAGAGAACCCACTTGAGTTTAAAGGAAGTGCTGGGAAGAAAATAAAGTTATAAAGTTGGTTTCTACCATTACTCCACTAAGTCCAGCTTGTTCAATAATCAGTCAGATACCAGAATGACATAGTCAAAAAAGGAGACTATGCTAATTTGTTTACATGCAGCCTGCAGTGATTAATTCTTGGCTAGATCACTTTCAAAAAGGACAATACAACTGCCAAATTATCTACGAAATATATAATAAATATATAATGAATGATGAACCAAATGTCTATATACCTGTTTCAACTTGAACATCCAGTCTCTGAAATATATTTATGAAATCCAAATGTAACTGTCTAAATTCAAATGTGAAAGCATATAAAGTTGCAGGTTTTAAATTACCCCACTCATAAACCATAACATTATTTTGCATAATTTGTGAAGAATTATTGAAAGATATTGACACTGATATATCTTTGGAAGAGAGCACACTCCAGTTAAAAGAAACACTCGTACTTGTTGCTATTGTTTTAATATTGCTAGTTGAGATTCCACCTAAAAAATCAGGGAGAATAATTAGTACAGATTCAAATGAAATTGAATGAAACACAAAGGATATTAAGTTACATGATTCGTCATGATGGGAGAACATTATCTACCCATAAAATATTTTCTAGACTATGTGGGAGTTTCTTCTACATAGAATGAATGAATTAGATTACAGAACCACATTATATTTTTTACATAATCTGGATAACACTTAAAATCTCCACTCAACCTATCCATTCATACAAGTACACACAAAATGTCAAAACTGAAAACTATATTCTACCTTAGTTTATAATTTTCTTTAAATTCTGAGATTTGCGTTACATAAAAAATAACACTATTATAATTTTACAGTATCATATAACTGTTAACCATTGTAAAATTTAAATTATCTGGTAATGAAAGTTGACATAGCTGATCAACATATACATTACTTACGAATTTGAAATGACTTTTCATTTAAAATTTGTCCATATCTCATGGACTGTAAAATGATGTGATAATCTTCATTTTCCTTTAGTGTTATTATTAATTTCTGATGTCTTTGTGAGTCTGCAAGAATACTTTTTACATCCTGCAAATAATTAGATTCATCTGCTTAAGACATGTTTATTGAACATTATCTCTAAGCCAGGCACATTAATTACAAATTTGACTTTTGTATATCTCCTTAATAAAAAGTAGTTTTTCAATATGGAATATAAACATATATATGAAATGTTTATTTCTACATAAAAGCCAGTTTTTAAATAATTACTTTCCTTTGGTACATAAATTCTAAAAAGACAAATAGTCATTCCTATGAAAAACTTAAATATTAATTTGATCAATTACTTATTAAAGATATTTCAAAAAATGCTAACATTTTATATATTAATAAAATAAGAAACCCTGATAACTATTAGGTTCATATTTACAATGTGGCACTTGGTAACAACAGATTTATACTATGCTTACTTTTTATCAGAACCCAGAAAAGATTTCTTACTTTTCGAGCAAAATCATTAACACGTTGATATTTAAAAAAATAAAATTCAGGATTTCCTCCCTTAGGAAATTCATCCCATTCGATTAAAACTTCTGTTGTTTGTTTATTCACTGGTATATAATGAAAATTTTTTGAGATCTAAAATGGAAAAGAGAAGAAACTGTAAAAAGCAGTACAAATGCATTCTTGATTGTTATTTTATAAGCAGATTTATTAAAATGACACCTAAAATACATCAAATTATAATTTTAAAACATTTCAGCAGTATCAGTGTCTACACATGAATTATTCTGTCGGTTACTGTATTTATAAATATAATTTTGAAAATGACTTCAGTAAAGCAAGTAAAATAAGAGCATGGAAATTTAAGATCCTTGTCTCTGTAACTAGGAAACATTGTGTCCTTGGGGTCAGGGAAGAGGCAGAGACTCAAAGTCTTGAGAAAAACACGGCAAATCTTCCTGGAGTGCCAAATGTGAACCTTGGTGATAATGTCTACAAAATGGAATTATTTTGCAGACATTCTTGACCACATATTTGCAAAGAAAATACATCTGGGTACAAAATGTTTGACACTAAGTCATTTTAGACCCTTATTTCATCTATATGTAATTAAAATATTAGCAAAGTAAGACAGACCTCAAGATCAGAGACCCTTGATGTTCCCTCAATGACAAAAAGCACTTCAACTTTCAAAAGAATATATGTATCAAAATTCCTACCAAAAACAACTCTGAAATGCCTTATTATACCTTGTCTTCTTCCCAAATTCTGACTTATCTCCATGATCAACCCCAAGACAATTTTTAAGCAATAAAAATACATATGTGAGTGACACCTAGCAAAGAAAATGTTTATTCTTAGGTACTAAACCAGATATTTAGCATTATTTCCCTTCAATATACTCCTCATTTTCCAGAATGATAGATTCAATGCAATCACATCTTGCCCATTAGCTAATTATTCCAAAGAGGGTGCACTCAAAAATGTCTTACCTTAACAACATATTGTAACCAGAGCAGTAGAATAATTAATTTCTCTATCTGGAAAGTAAAGTGTATTCAGTTCAATTAATCATGTATTTCTTAGCTTCAAAACTAAACTATTGGACATTCTTTAAATGGAGTGTATGTATATCATTTTAATGTCATGCCTTTTCAATTTAGAGTGACTGCTCATCCAATTGAATATTAAGGCATTAATAGGTGAGTGCTGCATAAATTTCCTACTAAATAAAATTGGAAACATTAGTACTTTCCAACAAATAACAAAATAACTTATTTCTAGAAACTGCTTTAAGTATAAAGGAGGTGTTAGAAATAAAATGAATTATCAGGCAATTACACAAAATTACATTGCATCGTGTGAAATTATTTAACCTCAATTAATGGAAATCTAGAACACCTACACAACTGCTGCTTCTTTGGAACTAATTCCTCACATTTTAAAATTACACCATCATCATGAAAAATATTTCAAAATACATGAAACTGAAACTTAAATAGAAACAACGTTCAATAGTCGTTTCAACTCAATTTGTTTTAAAAATACATTCATCTAAAAAGCTTGCCTAGCCTTTCATAGGAACCTGGAGCCCCGAGGACCTAAAAACTTTTATATTCATCTTAAGATACAAAGAAAAAGAAAATACCCCTGTATTTTATATGTTTTTAAAACTGAAAATACTATTTTAATAGTAAACAATTCCCCAGGATCAATTTTAAAGCTCCTGAAAGCTCACTGTAAAGCAAGTTTATTCCTATAGAATCCTCTTTAGTTCTTATTAAGTAGGTGTTTACCTCAGATAAAATGCAACCCAGTTAAAAAGAAATGCCTAATAATTAAATCCAAACCCTTCCACAAAACTGCAAAACTTTAACCTTATCCATTTTTCCAAGCAACCTGATGTAAGTGTTCTAGGGCTATGGTATTAATTCCCCCCTAAACCTAAGTGTAAACTATAATTTTGAAGGCCGTGTGCTATAATAAAAATGCGAAAGTGGAAAGCTCCGGGATGCCCGCTCTTTAAGTCCAAACTCCACTCAAATTCAATTTTGTGAGCCACTGTGTTTGCCCTGGGAGTGTGTAAAGAGCCCCTGTCCTAATGCGCACTATTTTAGAGTCAAAAAGCGCCCACTTTTGAAATGGGGAGAGAAGCAGAGTACAAAAGAAAGGATTGCGGTTTAAATAATGGTTAGACTGGTGGAGAAAGAAGGAAAGAGCTGAGACCTGGAAGACAGTTAAACTGCAGGGGATGCAAGGTTGAGAAGTCGCAGGTGCAGCGGCACCCGTGCAACCCGTCCTGACCCCCATATGGACCCGGACCCGGACCTGCAGCCACGCGGCGCCTGTGCTTTGCAAGTTTCGGGTGCCCGGGCGACTGGCCTGGGAGGTGCTGGCACTGCTTTGGGTGCGGCGGCCCAAGCTGCCCACGATTCCTGGGTCACAGCCCACCTCGCAGCCTGCCTCCCTCTAGCCCCCTTCTCGCGCTCTGCTCCAGCTTTTGCTGCAGCTGCTCTGGCGGCTTTCATTTGGGCCAGTGATGCCCTCACCCTGCGTTGGGTTAATTAAGCGAAGGTTTCCATGGAGACAGACAGGAAGCCTTGGGAAGGGAGAGGAGTGGGAGGCAAGTCCCAAAACATTGAAATGTGGAGGAGAATTGCATTCTGCATGGAGGAAGGGAGGAAAGGGAAGGGCGATGAAGGAGAACGCGAGTGGGACACATTGGCATCTCATTTAAAAAAAACAAAACAAAACAAAAAGCAGAAGTCGACTATATGTCTGTGAATAGTCCAGTTTTGGCTTAAGATCAAATATGTGGCTTTGTATGAAGCCGCACTCCTCGTTAACCTGTGTGTGTGTGTGTGTGTGTGTGTGTGTGTGTGTGTGTGTGTCTGTAGTATTTGACAACGTTAATTGAACCCCGAGATAGCTTCCCTGACATCTCCCTCGCCTGGCACTTGCATTGGCTTAGTCTGCATCACTGTGTCCTCTGACATTGCCAGCTTAAAAACTGAGTTGACCTGTGGTGCCTTCCTTGACTGTGGGCTATTTCATTCACTTTTGTGATTTCAACCATATTCAAGATTTTCAATCACTCCGTCTTGGATTTCATGTCTTTCCAGGCTTCAGAGAAGTATTTATAGCTCCAAAATGGGCATCTCCATCTGGATGTCCCTACAAGCGATTCAAAACCGTATTTTCAAACCTAAATTTATAAACTCCTTTTCCAGCTCTTCCTGAGGAAAGGATCCTTCACCCAAACAATCAAACGAAAATCACCACCACCACCTCTTCATCCTCAGATCATTTTCTCACCACCCAGTGCCACTTTATCCTGCAAATCTCTTTGATTCCACTCCTAAATTACCTCCTAGGCTGATTAATTCTTCATTTTTATCACTGTTACAGACTTCATTGAAAACTTTACATTTCTCTCTCTCACACACACACACATACACACACATACACACGCACGTGTGCTCTCACTCTTGCTATCTCTGTCTGGAAAACATGTATCATGTTTAAGGGTTTGTATCTCAGCGCAGATCCTGTGGCTCCCTTTACTAGCTAAGTATCTCTTTGGAAATTTGGCTGTGGTGAAGAGTAAGCTTGAAGAGTGCTTAGTAGAGTGTAAATACTTAACTGAAAGACAACCAACACTGGTTCACTGCAGCTACTGCTAATACACTAACACTTGGATTATGGCTCCGTGTTTGACACTCCCAGTCTCTCTTACACACTGCTAGCCAGTGTGATCTTTCTGAAATACACACATGATACCATATAACCATGCATGGAGGGTACTTAAAAGCCTGTTGTGACTTTTTGTTGTCTATAATGTACCTCTCACCAAAATCACTTTTCAACCCCATCTCTCTCCTCTCCTCCTTGGCACCCTGACTTACATGTACCCTCAATAAAGTAACAGGACATAAACATTTACATCTCTGTTTTCCTGTAGATCTTTGTTTATACTGCAGCACAAAAATTTATTTTTTATACATTTATGTCCTCAGCTAGATTAGGAACTCCACGATGGCAAGGATTCAAGCACAGTTATAAGTGTGAACTATATTTGTTTTAATTCCTGGGGATTCTGCATATCTTTTGAGTCTTTACAACTAGAAGGTATTGGCCAAGCATGGTGGCTCATGCCTGTAATTTCAGCACTTTAAGAGGCCAAGAGAGTTGGATCACTTGAGCCCAGGAGTTAGAGACCAACTTGGGTAACATGGGGAAACTCCATCTCTACAAACCCATCTCTGTAATTGTAAAACATAAAATGGTGATGTGTGCCTGTGGTCCCAACTACTGGGGAGGCTGAGAGGGGAGGATCACTTGAGCCCAGGAGGTTGAGGCTGCAGTGAGCCATGATCACGCCATTGCACTCCAGCCTGGGTGACAGAGTGAGATACTGCCTCAAAACAAACAAACAAACAAACAAATAAAAATAAAATTAGAAGGTATCAAGGCAATTATACCACAAAATGATCTTATCACCATTGAATTAGCTTCTAGGTTTTGAGAAATATGATCAAATTCAAAATCCATCAAGTAAATCGAATAATGGGTATGTATTTTCAATATGGCCTTCTGCCTCCCATTTGCTGTGTAAACAATGTCATTTTAAATAAGTAGCCTTCATAATATTATCATCACCTGTGGTTTACATCAGTATCTCCATTAGGTCAATCAAGTAGGTAGCAAGCTAATCAATAGGGTTTCCCTAACCAGCAAGCAAAATGTTTTCCTTGCTGAAGGATGTCCTTTGAAATAGTGTGGTTTTGTCCCTTTCATTAGACCCTAACAAATAAAGTATAGAGAAATTAAGTGAAAGATTTAAGAAAATTATGGGTTTTCACTTTCAAGAGAAAAAAAAAAGTAGAGTTTTAATGATATTTCAACATGATTCCTAAGGAAAATAATTTATTTTTCAGATGGAGAGGCACAGATAAAAGCCATTTAGGCAATAACGGAGGCAACTACTATCCTATCATGTGATTCTTTCCAATATCCATAAAGGCTTTTCTTTCTTGATGCTTTATTCTTTAGAGAAGCCAAAATCCATCACATTCCAGAGTGTGTAAAACTGAACTTTTGTAAGGTTAAAATGAAATCATGCTTAAGAATTGAAGATTAATATTAAAACATCTTTCCTTAAACCTGGAAAAAAATAATGGTACAGCTTTTTGGTTTTCCTGATCTCATCGTGTTTCCTATTCTTGCAAGTCTTTGTTGCTGTCCTCCTTTAAAGAAGACATTTTACTCAAAAATTTGACACAAAAATAACACTTTCATAAGCTGTAATACGTTTAAAAATTAGCCAGATTTCTATCACTATTTAAGGGAAAGCCATTGTTGCTAAAAAATTCATAAGCTTTATTTTGGTGGCATAAATTATAAGAGAAAGAAAATAAAAGATGGGTTAGCAGCATTTTTCATCCATATTTGGTTTCTTAAATGTGATGCCAGAAGGTTTATTTTTTTTTTAGTTTTATAACTAGGCTTAGCCTTTTCTACAATGTAAAATTTCCTAAAAATTTGTGGTATTATTTCTCTAGCATGTTCATTTACACAGTATAAAAATAGTTATTCCAACAGTTCCTATATGAAACGATATTCAATCAACCAAATTAATCCAAATTAATTTACTCTGAGTGAATATGGCATATTTGATAAAGTGGCTTCACGTCAAAATCCAAGATAAATATTTGGATTCATTGTTGTGGGTTAAAATTCAAATATCATGTTGAAAATTAGGACTAAACAAAAAGAGTTTTTATGTCTGAGTTGGTGGTAGTTGTGAATTACTTCACATAGCTTTACTATAACAGTCCATTTATAGCTTTACTAATAGATTTTTTTTAAAGCGTATGCCAGGACAGGTGGGAATTTATTTCTCAAAGAGATTATCAGCACATTTAACATATTTAATTAATGAATTCAGTTCAGCAAACATTTACAGAGAAATTCTGATGAAGAAAGTATCTTGGATGCAGCAACAGGAAAGAAAAGACAGCAAAACCTGACTGCCTGCAAAGGCTTTAAATCCAGAGAATAAGATTCATTATCCTTACACTTTGAAATGTCAGAGAAAAACAAGAGAAGAGTAGAGAATAAGTGAGCTCTGTGAGCTCATCGGAATGGCCAATGACTCTGGCTGGTCCAAGTGCAAATCCCTAGCCCCTATGATAGGCAAAATTCTAGGATGACACCTAAGATTCCCACTCCCTGGTACTTACACTCTATATAATTCTCTTCCTGTGAGGGTGGGTGAGACCAGTGAATGTGATGGGATAGTCATTTCCATGATTAAGTTACATTATATAAGACTTTATTGCAACAGAACAAGAGAGGGGTTCTCCTGCTGGCTTTGGAGAAGTCAGCTGCAAAGATGTCAGAGGGTCAAGTGGTTCGAACATAAGCATGGCCTCTAGTAGCTGAGAGTGCACCCCAGCTGACAGCCCACACACATACACACACACACACACACACACACAAAAATGGGGATCTCAGTCCTACAATCACAAGGAACTTAATTCTGCCAACAACGTGAAGGAGCCTGGAAGAGGAGGACTCCAAATCTTAGATGAAACTACAGAACCAGCCAGCAACTCAGTTTCAGGCTATAAGACATGAGCAGAGAACCCAGCTAACCTACATTCAAACTCCTAAGCCATAGAAACTGAGATCATAAACGTATTTTGTTTTAAGCAACTAAATTTGTGGTAATTGGTTTCACAGCAATGGAAAAGTAATACACTCTCAGTCACTGTGATTGGCCAGTCATTGCACTGGATTTTTTGAAATAGAGCTCAGAGACAGATGTTCTCTCCTTTTTGCTGGTAAATACATAAAGGTTGCTGCCTCAAAGGAAAAGCGCCATGTACAAAGTTGCAGTTGCCCATGGAGCAACCTGCAATGAGGTAGGAAAGAACAAAATTGGCAGAGCAAGAGAAGCAGAGATTAATGCACTCAAGTCCAGACATTTCATTCTCTCCTGCCTATTTTAAGTTTGGTTATTGTTAGAAGGCAATATTTATCTCAATTTCTTTGAAGTACATCTCTTGGAGTGAATCCATGCCACAACCACTACCTCCCCTGGGTAAGTAAATATAATAACATCATTGGGATTTGAACTCAGTCTAGTTCTAGAGGCTGGTCTCCTTACCACTAATCACATAAAGAGCTAAAGAATCTCCTTACTGATTAAGTAATTAATTTCCTCTTCTTTGACATAATTAAACCAGCTGCTGTTAGAGCAAGGAAATGAATATAACTAGATGTATTCTGGCACTACTTTTAGCATACACCTTAATATGTGTATATAGCCTATGTAATTATTCTACAGGTAGAAATCATGTCCTAAATGTTGATTTGGCCAGGCATGGTGGCTCACACCTGTAGTCCCAAAACTTTTGGAGACCAAGGTGGGGAGGTCACTTGAGCCCAGGATGTTTGAGACCAGCCTGGGCAATATGGCAAAACCTCATCTCTACAAAAAACTACAAAACAATTAGCTGGGCAT